AAGTTCGAACGAGGTCAACGAGGTCAGTAGCATCCTTGGCTCCGAAATCAACCTCACCAACTTAGAAACAGACGCTTCAACACTAAACGAGACCAACGATGAGTGCTCCGAAAGAATTATCATCAATGTCAGCGGCCTCAGGTTCGAAACCCAGACGAGAACGCTGAATCAGTATCCAAACACGTTACTGGGAAACAATGAGAAACGAAATAAATACTACGATTCACACAGAGATGAATATTTCTTTGACAGGAACAGACCAAGTTTTGACGCTATACTCTATTACTATCAAGTAGCAATCATTCTTTTATTATTGCATTATTAACTTTTTTTACGAGTGCGATTCTCAAAAACTCGGTACATGAACTAATTCTTGACTAAAACTGAACTTAACTGGAAACACTAACTGATACAAATCCACTCGCCAGAGCTCCGGCCGTCTGAGAAGGCCAGTGAATATTCCACTCGATGTTTTCATGGAGGAAATAAAATTTTACGAGCTGGGCAGCGACGTCATCGAGCAATATAAAGAGGAGGAAGGATTCGTGAAAGAGGAAGACAAACCTATGCCTCTCAATGAGACTCAGAAAAAGGTTTCTGTCTGTCTGTCTGTCTGTCTGCTTTTTTACCTGTATTACTAAACATCAAACACAAATTAAATTCATGCCATTCCATATCCAAAATATATTAACGACAACAATGATAAACATTATTAGCAATAAACACACCTACACTTTTAAGCGAAAACACGTGTATATACAGGCACGGGCATACAGACACATTCACACTTGCAAACAAACAAACACGTAAACACGCACGCAAACACACGCACATCCCTAGATATGGCTGCTGATGGAGTATCCGGAAAGTTCGATAGCGGCCAGACTGATTGCACTAATTTCCATCTTAGTGATCCTCCTGTCCATTGTAATATTCTGCTTGGAGACACTGCCATCTTTCAAGGACCCTTACAATACCAACAGCAATAACGACACGAATTTCGTCGCCTCTTACGTCAACTCCAGTATTTACTCCTCTAAGAACGAAGGTTTAAATTTTGTTAATTCGATTTTTTAAACAACCAATCAACGTCAAGCAATTATCGTTAATAGATTATCGTTAAACGACGGACGTCAGTCAATTATCTCCAACTTTAACCAATCAACAACCGACCATTAATTCTTAAAATTTTTTCAATTCATCATTTCCAATCCTCGTCAAGCAAGCAGTCATTAACAGCCAATCACCTGTTTCAATCAAATATCAACAATGCATCTTTGAACAATTATCAACAGCCACCCGTAAATATATAAAATCTGTCAATAGCCAATCACAATCAATCAATAACATTCACAAACCAATCAACGTTTACTACTTTTAGCCACCTATCCAATAGAGGACGACATACCTCAAATAACGGATACCTTCTTCATCTTAGAATCAGTGTGCATAGTTTGGTTCACATCGGAGCTCATACTCCGTTTCGCTTCCTGTCCGGACCATCTCTCCTTCTTCCGAAACGTTCTCAACATCATCGACTTATTCGCCATCGTTCCGTATTTTGTCACCTTGGCAACAGCCGCGGCTTCCACGCCCACAATTTCCGGTGGCGGTGGCGGCGGTGGTAGCACCAAAGCCACAACCTCTCTAGCTGTCTTGAGAGTTGTTAGGCTGGTTAGAGTGTTCAGGATTTTTAAACTGTCCCGGCATTCGAAAGGTTTTCAGTTTGAATTGTGTCTTAATGTATCGTGATTGAATTTAAAAAAAAATATTTTGTTAGTTTAACTGTGTTAAATTGTAGATTTAAAAATATTTGAATCGCTTTTGATCATTTAACAAGCACACAACGCCTCAGTTGCCGCGAAAATGAAACTAGATCAACATAAAACAAACACCAACAATAAAAGACACCAACGCCAATCATAAAAGGTCTTCAAATTCTCGGCCGCACGATCCAAGCGAGCATGAGAGAGTTGGGCCTGCTTATCTTCTTCCTCTTCATCTGCGTCATCCTCTTCTCCAGTGCCGTCTATTTTGCCGATGCAGGCGCCCCCAACAGCCACTTCTCCAGCATCCCTGACGCTTTTTGGTGGGCCGTAGTTACCATGACAACGGTGGGGTACGGAGATATGAAGCCGACGAGTGCTTGGGGAAAGTTAGTGGGGTCCATGTGTGCCATCGCCGGGGTCCTAACCATCGCCCTCCCAGTTCCCGTCATCGTCAGTAATTTTAATTATTTCTACCACAGGGAGACTGATAACGAGGAGAAAGTTAGTTAGAGTTGTGGGGTCCGGTCTGTCCATTAATCGGTTGATTGACTGGTTGGTTGTAAATTATGTGATTGATTGATTGATTGATTGATTGGTTGTTGATTGATTGATTGATTGATTGGTTGATTGATTGATTGATTGATTGATTGATTGATTGATTGATTGATTGATTGATTGATTGATTGATTGATTGATTGATTGATTGATTGATTGATTGATTGATTGATTGATTGATTGATTGATTGATTGATTGATTGATTGATTGATTGATTGATTGATTGATTGATTGATTGATTGATTGATTGATTGATTGATTGATTGATTGATTGATTGATTGATTGATTGATTGATTGATTGATTGATTGATTGATTGATTGATTGATTGATTGATTGATTGATTGATTGATTGATTGATTGATTGATTGATTGATTGATTGATTGATTGATTGATTGATTGATTGATTGATTGATTGATTGATTGATTGATTGATTGATTGATAATTGATTAGGCGTTTGGTTGATCAGTTTGATTAATATCTATATAGTTTATCTTTTATTCATACTTGTTTGAGGATTAGAGATTGATTGGTTAGTTGATTGATAATATATTTAACAACTTCATTGCCTTTTAAGTCTCGCCATTATTTGCCGCTTCATTTTTTTCCATCATCTTATCATCATTTTCTTCCTTCTCATCATCTTATCGATCATTGTTATCATTTGTCGCCTTCATCTCAGCGTCGCAAAAGATCGCAAAGATCGACTTACACACACATACGCGCACACATACACACCTACACACACACACACACGCACGCACGCACGCACGCACCACACACACACACACACACACACACACACACACACGTACACATTTAAGATGGCCATGATGACGTCATCGTCGTCGTCATCATCGTTGAAGAATGTAAACAAACCTGAAAACGACTCTACACAATCATCAAATAATAATAATAATAATAATAATAATAATAATAATAATAATAATAATAATAATAATCGTCGTCGTCGTTACTGCGGCGAAGTCAGCAACAACAACAACAGTAATAATAATAATAATAATTGTGATAATAATAATAATAATATTAATAATAAAATGTCAACGATTAAACAATTATATGTTTGCTTGAATACAAGTGTATATATATATATATATATATATATATATATATATATATATGTCCATATATGTGCGTGCCTTTGTTCATATTATAATGTATATGTTAAATATAAATAAATATATATATATATATATATATACATATATATATATATAAATATATGTATATATATATATTTATGTGTGTTTGTAAATATACATATATATTTTCCTTTGTTTTTCCTTCAATCACTCCATAAACTGTATTGCCCATATAGAAATCTGGTATTTTTGTTATGCTGCCAAATATTATTATTATTACTATTGTTGTTATTGTTGCTATTTATTTAAATGAATATAACGTCACTATATTCTTTTTAATTTTTACAATGACGATGAATATATTATATTAACGTAATAGCGATATTGACGATCTTCTAAATAATTATGACGTCACCGATGACGCAATGACGTCAGTGATGGTGATGATGATGATGATGGGGATGTTTTTGTTTTACGTAAAAAGCTGTTTGTTTATTTTTTTGTTATTACTCTAGAAATACTTAATAAGTTAGTTTTATGTACATCAGTTCAATTTATATATATGTATGTATATATGTATATATATATATATGTTTATTTTTATGGTATCTTGTGTGTTTGTATATGTGTGTGTCTTTGTCTGTATGCGTGGGTATTTGTATGCGTTTAGGCATGTATATATGTATAACATTCGTGTAACTATATATCTAAGTGTGTATATTTTTATGTGGACGTATATACGTTATGTGTTTATATTTGTATGTATGTGTGTATATGTGCGCGTGTTTGTGTGTTTATGTGTGTAGTGTTTTAATAAGAGTAGATTGACTTGATTATGTGTTAGAATCATGTTTCAGTATAGAAAGTCTCGCTTGCAATACATTGATTTTGCAGTGGCTATCATTCATAACGCGTTTTTATTATTTTTTTATTATTTTAGTTGATATTATGATTATTGTTGTTGTTGTTTATATTATTGCTGTTGTTATTTTATTATTATTATTATTATCATTGTTGTTATTTTTTGTTATCGCCTACTGACATTATATAAATAAGTTTAGCCGTAGCTGCGTTATTGTATTTTACTATTGATATAAATACATCAACACTAATTACATCACTCACATTCACATCCACACACACACACACACACACACACACACACACACACACACATCGGTTATTATTCTCATTTTAGCGGATTTACTGTTTTAATATATTTTTGAGCATTTTAAAATGACGAATGTGTGATGTCTGTTTATGTGTGTGTCTGTTTATGTGCGTGTATACACACCCATACACAAACCAACACGCACACACAAAAACACATATAGACACATATATACATATATATATTTCTCTTTTACAATTTTATTATTTTCATAATTAACTCCAAAAAGATCCGATCAAATTGATGAAAAACATACTTACAATTGAATGTACACAATTTTTATGAACATTCTTATACACAAACATACAATTGTATATACAATACAATATACAATCCAGTATACAAACTTTGGTAGGCATACAATTATTTTCTGACATCTAGTTATACACAGTTTCTATATTTTCAAGTATTTTTTTGAAATTTTATTAAAAAGAAAAAGCTTTTGTTTTTCGTTTTCAATAACGAATAAAATTTAAACAAGCATTTGATACAATTCTTATCGAAATTAGCATCGTTATTAAACGAAACTGAGAAAATTCTTGTTAAAGTATCGAAACTTTTAATAGATACAGTATTATTTATACCTAGATTTTGTGGTTGTATCTGTAAATTGTGTTATTATATGTAATGTCTTTGCCGTTATAAACTCCCATCCTATATTTCAACATTACCGCTTTTATCATTCTACTTGTAACAGATAATGGTATCGTTATTGGTATCGCTATTACTGTACTGGTATCGTTATTGGTATCGCTATTAAAACTAGTACCGTTATTGGTATCGTTATTAGTACTGATAGCCTTATTAGTATCGTCATTAAAACAAAAATGAATAAAATGTCTTCGAAAAGAACTGAGATTAAAACTTATGAGGATTTTTTGGAACTTGCCAAAGTGTCCAATGTATCAGTGGTTCGTTTTTAAAAACAAATTTTATCATTCTTTAGTTTTTTCTTCTATATTTTTCAACTTTTTTCTCGGAATTATAAAATCTCCAAGCATAACTTACAATTAACTATTTTAATAGATGAATTTAGTAAATTATGCGTAATTTAATAAAAATAAGAGTTTATTTGAATTTATAGAGTAAATAACATATAAATAGGTATTTAAACAGACAAACAAACAAAAAAAACAAACAAACGAACAAACAAACCAAAAAAAACCAAAAAAACGCAGCGAAATTTATGTGCATAACACTCAGGGTTCTTCTGCTTGCTTTCGAACCAGATAACTGCAGCTGGAAGTGGAGTTAATTATTCCAAAAAGTATTACTACTACTATTACTACCGCTATTACTACTACTACCATTAATACTGTTGCTATTACAACAACTACCTCTACAGTTACTGCTGCTACTACTACTACTACTACTACTTCTATCGCTACTACTACTACTACTACTACTCTACTGCTACTACTACAACAACAACAACTACTACTACTACTACTACTATAATAATAATAACAATAATAATAATAATAATTGTAACAATAATATAACGAAATAAATAATATTATTAATTATCAAAGGACATGAATTCATTAGTACAGGATATTTTATCACACAAAAAAGTGAATGGAACATCTTCAGTAAGTCATTATTACAGTTCTATTTCTATTTTTCTCATAAATAAAATTATTTTTTGTTTATATTTCTACCTATTTATTCAATATATATATAATCGTACTCTAGCACTTGGAGATAATTGATTAACTTTTTTTTTAACACTGCTCTACTCTGCCTTGTTTAATTGTAGAAATGTGAGCCTGATAAATTAATTCAATTGATGGAATGAAGTTATTAATTGATGGATTGATTAATGATTTATTAATAAATAAATTATTTTTTTTTTAATTAATTTTTTGTAAAAGGAAAATAATGTCTCTGAATCTCGCAATAACCAAGTTAACAATGTTTCCTTGATTGGCAACAAAAATGGTGCTAAAATTAAAGTGAAAAAAGTTTTATCGACAAAAAAAAACGTAAAAAATACAGTTGTCGCTACCATTACTACTGCTGCTGCTGCTGCTGCTGATGCAACCGCTACTTCAGCCGCTACTTTTGTTGCTACAGCTTCCACGAATAAAGTAGCTCCTAAAGTAAACCTCGATAGTAGCTTAAAAAAGAGACAAAAACAACAACTAAATTCACGTGAATTTAAAAAGTCTAAAATCGATAATAACGCAAAACCAGTAGCTGCAGTGACTGCAAGGACTTCTGCTGCAGCTTCATATAATGATGATAGTAATAGTAGTAGTAGTGGCGCTTGTACACCTGCTACATCTGGACAGACGCCAGTTTATTGTATGACTGATGATGATGACTGCATCAGTGTTTATGACGGTGGTGCTGTTTTTAGTGGTAATGAGGATAATGATGGCCCTTCGCCTTCCACTTGTAACACGGAAGTGACGTCAGCTGCTGCAGCAGCTACTGCTGCAGTTGCTTCTGTTGTTGGCAATGATGGCGATGGTGAATCCACTCCAACCATAACATTCTGCGCCAATAATAGAGCTGCCATGAAAAAAGTAACTGAAACAACAAAACTGACAACTGCCAACAAAACAACAACATCGTCATCAGATAAAAATGCCGCCGTCAACAAACAAACCCCTAATGCTGGCAACAGCACAAGAAAAAATTTTGCAAATGCGGGAGTGACGAGACAGAACGAAGGTTCGACTTCAGGAATATTAACTGAAAACAATTCGAAACGTTCTACCGCCACAAAGACAACATCGCCAGACAGTTACAGATACAGGATACCACCAAGATCACCAGATTACAATCGTGACATTGACGACATACCACATCATATTTCTCCTACATATCACGGTAGCGACGAACCAGCTGTCCGAATGCCATCTAAGTCACCAGATTACAATAATGAACACATGCCAGTTTGGTGTTCGCCTACATGTAACCTTGAGTCACCAGCTTATCCCTCGGCTGGCTCTAACAGTAGCGATGAACGAAATAATACTGCCAATTCTTTTCAGAAAGCGATTAACCCTGAAACAAGTTGTTCTTGCACAAGACCAAAAACTTCGCCAACTACCGGCGGAATAATAAGTAACTTGCCAGTTAGCTGTATTGTTAAAGACAATCAAAATAATACTTTTATCCCTTACAAAAAACTTTCAGATTGGATAATGACTGGCCCTGAAACAAACTGTTATATCACAACGCCTACAGCATCGCCAACTGCCAACGGGACGAGAAAATACTCACCAGGTGGCCAAGCTAGTTTCAACTCAAGACTTCCTAAGAAGTTGCCAGCAACTCACAAAACAACCAGAACAACACCACCACCAGTAAAAAGCAGTAGCAGTGACGACAACGACATAAACAAAAAAAGTGCTAAAGTCAACAACAACATCAATGGTACTGCTAAAACGAAAGTGGCCACGCCTAACAATAAGCCTCTCGCCACAACTACAACCACATTGCTAACTACCAGTAGAACGAAAACGGATTCATTAGTCAGCAGCGACCAGCAAAATAGCGTCGGATGCATTACAGTCAGTCAAGCTACCAACGCGATAGCAGCTAATTTTAGTCCTGGGGCTTCTATCCCAGCAGTAGCAGCAGCAGTAGCAGCATTGCCAACCGTAAACGAAACATCCTCATCACCTTCCGAAACTACTGAATACTATGATCAAGCCCTGATTCTTGTGAAAAATGATTTTGAGAAATTGATTGCATCAATTGGCACCATTCAAACGGCTACTCTGTCTGTTCTGGAAAGACTAATTAACGAAATCAAAAGTAATAAGGAAAAGAAAAAAAGAAAAACAAATAATAAAAACAAATAAATATTATATATGCTTATATCTTAAATATGAACATTTGATTAGTGATTTATGATAATTCAGTGAATTGTGAAAGGTAATCAAACTTTCTCTTGGCTGCATAGTACACAGTATTGCACTTTTTAATTATAGGCAAAATTATTTTTAAGACGATTATAAAATTATTTTTAAGACGATTATAAATTTATTTTTAAGACTTATTACATTACATTTTAAAATTTTTTATCTATTTGATGTACGGCTTTTACTGTTCAAGTTATTTAAATGAATATTAGTTTGAGTAATATTTCATGTTGGCAAATAAAATTTTATCATACGAATTGAGCTATACCACTTAGACATTAACGTTGAGTTCCAAGAAACACTCTTACACACAAAATATAATAATAAATATGTGACGTAAATACTTTTTTTCATCATCCAGCCATTTATAATGGCAAGAATACAAATAGGTGTTTATAGTTTATACAAGGTATATTGAGCATGTTATTTTAGAATGAAATTATCATATTTAATCAGTATGTATTGAAACCCATATAGCATATATCACATTATGTATGTGATATATGCATATAATGAATAGCATTTATTTAAAACCATTTACATGTTTATTAATTTAAAACTTAATAGATTAAGTCATAGAACAAAAGGACAAAAAATATTCGAGCTGGATTCTCTATCTAAGATCTATGCACTTGCTTAGTGTTTCATTATCGTCTGTTTTAATAAAAATCGTAGCTTTTAATTAGTGGTTAGTGAGTTAGGTAACTAGAATGGCTCACATTGCGGTTATATTTTTATCTGTAACTACTGGTTTGTTTTTTGTTCTCATCGGAACAATCAAACTCTCCCCACTGGTTAACGAGGAAATCTACCGAGATATGGTCAGTTGGTCAGTCGTCAGTTGATTGATTGGTTGATTGATTGATTTGTTTATCTAGTTAGTTCTATCGGAATGTATGTTTATGCTTTTTTTTTAATAAAGTTTAATTTAAATTTTAAATCTAAAAAAAACCATAAAACTCATTACATATGTATTTGCACTTAGCAGGCATAATTTTTATTGAAAAATGGTGTTTGTACTATAAGTATACTATAGTATAACTATAAATAATTATTTTCTTTCATACAGAGGAAAAATTTTATTCGGTTCTCTAAAGTCTTTCCTTTGGCATCAATAACTAAATTTAGGCCAAGTCCCCATGCACTTAGGCGTGTTGTTGGTGTGGTTGAAGTTGTCAATGGCTTAGTTTTGACTTTTGTACCTGGTATGCTGTTTAATGTTAAGCTTCTATTTTTTTTTAATTCATTTTAAAATGACCTTAAATAATTTTAAATTAATTATTGATATGATTAGTAATGATATAATAATCTAATTTTTATTTTTATGATGAATTTTAGGACCATTAAAACAAGTGGCTAACATAGGGCTGCTGCTGTCTTGTCTTTTCTCCATTTACTGCCACTACATGGTGCATGATTCACTCGATAAAATGACATCCCATCTTATTTTTGGTCTTTTGTTGGCCTGCAGATTTATCGTGAGGTTACAGGTCAATGCCAGAGAAGTAAATGATTCAAACACTAAAAATGTTAATTTGAAAAATGATCGAAGACAGTATGATAAAGTTCCTTCAAAAATGTCTACTATAAACCCCGAATATGATATTTCTGCTGAGGAGAATGTCCAAAATAAAAAATGTGATTAATTGATTAATTTTTTTAATTCATATTTGTGTTGTGTAGTTTTTGATGTTGTAAGTAGTCTTCTTATAAATTGTGTCCCAAACAAACACTCATCATATTATTCTGTGGTAGATTATATGGATTGATGTGGTCTTTACTAGTTTTTAATTTTGATTTGATTTTTTCATTTTAATATGTTAACTTATCTAATTGTTTTTGTGTTCTCAATCATTTTGCAATTTATGTTTTTCATTGTTGTTTATATACATTGCAATCTCTCATCAGCTGTGTGTGATAGCCATTTTTAATAGTAGAAACAATTACCAAGTCAGTCTGTTTGTGAGGTACTTTTATTTGGACATCATTTACAATTTCATCAGTTTTTTAAAATATTCAATAAAAAATCATAAAATGTATAAATTCGGTTGGTCCAATAGCAACAAAACGAATTAGAAATTTTAAAAAATATTGAGTTATCACGCAGCGTCGCCAATTACACTGCCGTTACTGGTGGCGTTGGCGTTCGTGACGTCATTAACTTTGACGCCGTCCGCCATTTTTGTTTCAATGGCTTCGCAGACCTGCGCAATGATCGAGTTAGGCACAGACATGGTTGGGTCGTTTACGATGACGATATCAAATGACTTTTTGTACCTTTCTAAAAACTCGTCAACCTGTATATGGAAATTTTGATATCTAATGGTTAAAGGTTACTTTATCTCTAGATTAGTTTTTTTTTTATAATTTATGAAACTGAGCACGAGTACCATCGCATTCAAACTCGATCACGACAACTCAAATTAGCGGACATCACCATTACGTTTTGAAAACTGTTAACGGATGAAACATGGGCCTACCTTATCATTTAGAAATCCAATTTTCAGGATATTTTCGCAGATGGCGCCATCGGCCATTTGCAAATCTCCAAGCGAGTCGCCCATGAGGATGATGTTGTGTCGGTGCTCGATCTCCTCGAAGTATCCAGACCTGTGGATCACGTTCTCGTTCTTGTTGAAGACGTGCATTAATTCACCTTCGAATCCATCTATCAGTCCCTGGTCATGTGATGAGTTGAGTAAATATCAAATTAAATAGACGTTTATCTGAATTCTTGTATGAACGAGCAAATGAACGAATGAATGCATCTGTCTAGACGTGAAAATGCTTGTAGGTATAAATGAATGCATGCATGCATGCATCCGTCGAGAAGTAAAATTACTTTTATGTATGTATGAATGAACCAGTGAATGAATAAATGGATGAATAAATGACTAGATGGATGAAAGGAGGGATAAGTCAATGGATAAAGGATGATAAAATAAATGGATAGATGAATGAATGAATGGATAGACATTGAAAACCGAATTTTTTGTTAAAACAACAGAAACATATGAACTAACAATTAATAAAAAGATCCCAACAAACTTAATGAAAAAAAAATCACTAAATCGACCTCATCGTTAAAGTGTATGAAGTTAGAAACGATTTTCAAGTTGTCATACAGCTTCGACCTTGACTTAAATGTCTCCTCAATGACGTCACCGATGCCAGCTGAAAATACCAGCAATGGTACTTGAAGTCTGTTAAGCTGCTGAAACAGCCAATCACAACCCTTCCTAAAAATAGAAATAACGTTTCTATAAATAGCACGCTTTGTAATTATAACAATGGCGTTACCAAGTTACCTGAAAATAATTCTTGACTCCTTGACAATCTGTGGCAGCCATTCTTTCCTTAGGTTGAATTCTATGAGTAAATCATGTGCTTTAGTCCACCTTGTAATGTAATGGAGAAATATTATTATAATGAAATAATTTAATCAATGTCAAATAAGGGCTTAAAATTATAACGAAACAATTAAAAAAATATATAAAGTAACTAATTGAGAATGATATTATGACAAAGTTAGCTGAAATTTTTCAAGGAAAGTTTCTGTAAATATATTTTAAGGGTAGTTGCAATAATAATGGAAACAATAACAACAACCTTACAGACCACAATCACACACAAACAAAGGTACATAGAAGTTCTGCAAAAAATTTTTTCAATAAAATTAAAAATCCAACCATTCCACCATATACGGAATCTTTTCTTTGATGGCTAAGTATGGGTCGATCTCGATTGCGTAATAATGATCTTTCAATTTTTCAGCCTTCTGTTGATAAATGGATGGAAAGAATTTGCTAGAATCTAAGGCATCTGACCAAAAAATGAATGAATGGATAGATGAATAAATGAATGGATGAATGAATGACTGAAATGTTTGAATGAATATATTATATATAAAGAAACCAATTTGGATAAACGATGAACACAAAAACATACTATAACAAGACTGACAAGGTCCATATTCATCATTAGGTGTTGTTAGAGTCATGTCAAAATCAGATATTACCTAATGGTTATTGTTAAATAATAAAATAATAATAACAATAAAAATTATAATAATTATTATAATTTAATTTCAATTCTTTAATATTATGAATTATAACCCCAACCTGTAATTTTTCAGTCCCTCCCTTGACAAATTCATTTATGATTCTTTGGACTTTCTCGGCATCCTCCATGTGCACGTTGCTGGCTTTTAAGTTGGACTGAAAAAAAACAGAAAGTGAATTTTGATTTAAAAAATAAAATTGCACATCTTGTCAATTCACTAAGTTGAAATTTGGTAAAGTTGTTAGAGTTTCTTATTCTCTTTACTTTATTAATTATATTATTTAGCCATTTTAATTTTAAATTTTAAAAATTTTTTAAAAATTTAATTTAATTTATTAATAAGCAAAGCTAAAGCAAGAAAAGAACATTAGTCAATAGTGAATAGTATTATAAAGTACTAGTATATTTATTAACATTACAATTACAATATTAAATTTTCACTAATTACAATTACTATTAAATTAATTGGTTGGGGTTGCAGTAATAGTTTAATTTAATAGTATTTAATTTTAATAATATTACTATTACAGTATTACTCCAACCCTAAACAATGGATCACCACAAAACAGCCCCATTGACGAAAATAAAACTTTAATCGAAAACACTTAAACTGCAAATTAGTGAAAAAATAAATTAGGAGCTAAAAATAAGAAAAAAAACAAACCATTGCGTTAAAAAACTTATAAACTTAAAAAAATTGATAATATAATTAAAAGTGAACACTAGTTTTAACAAATAATTTTTGTGACGTAAAGATGAACATATGATCGGCAAATCTTAAGGCTCTTAACTTTTTATGTGACTTGATTAATTATGAATAAATACATATATAGAGAGTATAATGTTCTATATGTGTTAATAAATAATAATTATTTCTCTTTTTCTTTTTTTCTCTTTCTCTCTCTCTCTCTCTATACATATTTGTATATATGTATACATATGTATATAGGTGGGTATATACTAAAAACTATAGATGCATGTATTAAATGTATTTTGGACTTACTACAAAGTTTATTTGTTAAAATGTGTGTGTTTGTGTGTGTGTGACAATTTAAAATTTCCTCTGACAAACGTGACTGAAATTGTCAAAAATATGGCATACTTGTCATCGTCGTCGTCATCATCAAATGCATCATTAAAATCATCATCATCGTCATCTTTATTATCATTTAATCGTGTGTGTAAGTTTGTTTGTTTGTGTGTGTGTGTCTTTGTATAAGTGTTTGTGCATATGCATGTGTATGTGTACTGCACATACATAATATATAAAGAAGGACATAATATAATAGTGGTCAGATAAGGGTCAATTATATGCATATTTGAGTTTCTGCTCTCATATGTGCGAGCGTAAAACTAAACAAAAATGTAAGTGTGTGATATGTAGCAGGAGTATGCAAGTATGTGTGTGTGTGTGTGTCTATCTGTGTGTCTTTGCGTGTAAATATGTGCGTATGCGTTTATCTAAATTATTTAAACATTTTGTTATTGTTCGTATTGTATAGGAAAAAAAATGTATGTGTGAATGTGTTTATTTGTAAGTGTGTGTGTGTGTGTGTGTGTGTGTGTGTGTGTGTGTGAAAGTGTGTTTGTTTGTGTGTGTATGTGTGTGAAAGTGTGTGTGTGTAACGGGAAAGCGGCGGACAACAAATATTGCATTGCAAAGCGATGGCGTTTCATTCTATGATACTAATACACGCTGCCTATATAACATTATATATTATTTTATGTTACGTAATTATCTAATTATTAATTTAATTATTAATTTAATTAAATAATTAGTTAGTTAATTATTTTTATTCATTATTTTAACGTCAAATGGTTGAAGGTATATGTACGTAAGCAATGTTTTACAATGTTTTACAATGTGAAAATGCTGGGTGAATTAAATTTAGCTTAAATTTTGAATAAAAATGAATGGATAGCTAAATTAATTAATTAGTTAACTAATTAATTATACAAATTAGAATAAATTAATTAAATGAGTAAATAATAAAACTGTTAGTTTCCAAAAATGAGTTTTTTCGGCTCCTTATCGAACTTCATTTCATCAATGGCCTCTCCTGACAGCAACACTGTCACACAGTTTTTCGAAAATAAGTTGTCGTCCGTGTCGTTGCTACACCAGCAGCAACCACACCACCAACAACCGCACCAACAGCAGCTTCAGAAGCAGCAAACGCAACAACAACAACAACTGCAACAAGAATTATCTACTTTATATCGACAACATCGATGTCATCATACTCCTGATCAAGAAACATACTCAACGGAGCAACAACAAACTGAACAACAACACACACAGCCTCAACAACAACATCAGCAACAAACACAGCATCAACAACAACAGCAGCAACATCTGCAACAACAACAGCAACAACATCAGCAGCAACAACATCAAGAACTGCAAATTGAATCTCCTACTCAACAACAGCAATCACAACAAACAAACCAACAACAAAAACATTTACATCAACAAAAGCAACAACAGCAGCAACAACAACAACAACAACAATCTCCGTCTTCATTTTTATCGTCGGCATTTTTGTCTGGCAAAACCGAAATCGCGAAAACGTTCTTAAACAAAATAACATCCCTGCAACCACAACAACAACAACCACAACAACAACCACAACAACAAACACCACAACAACAGCAGCAACGACAACAACAACAATCACATCAACAACAACAACAAAACTTCATAACGCAAATAAGCAATACCAGCCAATGCAATACATCAAGAGATTTTGCGACAGATAAACAAGACGATAATCATAACGACAACAACAACAATAATAATAATAACAACGACGACAATAATAAAAACAATAACAACTTTGTTGTTGATGTTGATAATGATGATGACGACGATGATGTTTCGAATGAAATCAACAATAATATAGATGATGATAATGCGAAAAGTAAAGAAGCTGGTGATGATGATGATGGTGATGATGATTCTTCTCCGACATCATCATCATCACCGCCAACTTCACTGCCACCATCATCATCATCTTCACCACCGCTATCCCCAATCTTCATCACATCGCCTATTGCTGACATGATAAAAAATGAAATTGATAATAATGATGATGATGATAATAATAATAATAACAACAACAATTCTATTGATAACAATGTTGTTGTTGGTGATGATGATGACAATGATGGAAAGCATGACAATGTTGAGAATGAAAGAGAAAGCGTTGAAGAAACAACGAGTCTGCCTAATATGTTGAGATTAGACGAATGGTTTTTATCACAACAACATTTGCAGCAGCAGCAGCAACAACAACATCAACAACAACAACATCAACAACAACAACAACATCAACAACATCCAACATTATTGAATGAAAAATATCCAACTCCAAATTTTGATTACATTAACACAGACGCTAACATAGAGCAGACGGACGCAACTACAACGTCACAAAACAACAACGACAATGAAATGATCAGTGATGACGGAAATAACATCAACAACAACATCAGTGACGGTGAAAACATCTACAACAATAACAACAACAACAATGACGTCAACAAAAACAATGGTAACGTCAACAATGCCTTACCTAATTTGAGTTACCTGAGCGAAGATGAGAGAAAACACATTGAAGAAGTTATGATGAGAGTCTTGATGGTGGAAGATCCAACGCCTAAGCAGCAGCAGCAACAACAAAAACAGCAGCAACTACAGCAGCTACAGCAGCAACTACAACAACCACTACTACAACAGCAACAACAACCGCAAAACAGACTGGAGACGAAGTACGTTGCAACAATATTTTCATTTATAAATCTCATTATCCTAGTATAAACCTTTTACATATACTCACGCACACACCTATGTATATCCACGTACACAATCATACAAACATACACACGCTCACACACACACACATACACACACGTACACACACACACGCGCGCACACACACACACACACACACACTAACATACACACACAAGGCCTATCGTTTCGTTCATAAATTTCGATTTTTCAATCAGCAAACAATGATTACATGCTTGGAAAAAATGATATTGAGAGGAGAGCTGAGTAGAGAAGAGAGAGAGAGAAAGAGAGAGAGAAAGAGAGAGAAAGAGATAGAAAGAGAGAATGAAAAAAGAGAAAGAGAGAAAGAGACACAGACGCTAATTATTTAAATGCACTTTGTTTTTATATAAAAAAAATCTTATCAACGTTATAAACATTGAAATCAATGATAAAATAACAGCAACAACAACAACATTAACAATGCCAAAAATAACATTAACAACATCAAAAACAAACAACATCAACAACAACAACAACAGATACGAAGGAGAAACAACGCTAACAACAAACAAACCTGTATCGATCCAGGCTTCCAATACACTAGAAACAAGAACCGATGATGACAATGAGGATGAAAATAATAAAAATAACAACAACAATAATATTATTAATTATAATAATTATAATTATAATAATTATGGCGTAATTAGAAACGTTAAGGATAGCACTGATGATTTCAGTAAAACCGACCAAAGTAGAATGTCCATGTCCAGCATGCTTACAAACACGCTGGCTAAAAAGTTTACCAGTCTATCTAATGCATTCAATTTATCTGATATCTCTTTTAATGATATTCATATTATAACTAGTAATTTTGCTACTATTACTACCACTACTACTACTACTACTGCTGCCTTTGCAGCTACTGCCGCCACTGCTACTACTTCTTCTATTACTACTACAGCAGTTTCTCAGGTTTTCAATGCTAAATGTATGGAATCGATTGATGGTCTATTTACCGCTGTAACTTCTAGTAACAATTTTAATTACAGCAGTAATAATGTTACTAAACATACGGATGATATCATTGATACAGTTAATGTATCAGATACTACTAATATTGATACTATGAATGCTTTATTTACTACCGATATTAACTCTACTACGACTACTACTTCCACTACTACTACTGAGGTTACTACTATTACGACAGCAGCTGCTCTTACTACTACAACGACTGCTGCTGCTATGGCTACTGGTACAATAACGTCAGCTGCAGAGAATAACCTGAATAGCACAGATGAAAGCAACAACGGCATTAACTACAATGATAATGACATTGATAACAACAATGGTGATAACAATAAAAATGATAATAGTAATGGTAGTAGTAGTAGTAGTAGTAGCGGCAGTGTTAGTAGTAGTCGTAGTAGTAGTAGTAGTACCAAAGGTCCAGACACTCCGACGTCGGATAGGGAAGATGTGTACAAATTAAACGAAGACGATTATTACACGCTACATAAATTTAAAATACACGGGGATTTCCGAGATTCCGCAGACGTCAGCGTTGACGTCATCGTCGGTGGTGGTAATGATCCTGGCGGTAATGATGATGATGATGATCGCGATGGCGGTGGCAATAGTAGTGTTGGTGGCTGTAAGAACAACTGGATGATCAGAGATGATGATGGCGATGGTGATGATGACCTAAGATTTGATCTGAGTGAAAGTAAAAGGATTAGTAATGGTGATCTCAATTATCATAACGATGATGATGATGATGATGATAACATCAATAACAACAACAATAATAATAACAACAACAATAATAATAATAATAATAATTATATTAATAATGATAATAACGATGATGACGGTTATAATACTAACAATGATATTATTTACGACGAAAGAAGCCCTATTGCAGCTACTACTATTACTACTGCAGCTACTACCCCTACTACTACTACTGCTGCCACTACTACTACTACTGTTACTCAAGCTGCTACTATTACTACTACTTTTACTGCAGAAGTTAATAATGACGATTCTAGAAGTGACGCTAATAAATATGGAGTCAGTATTATGAAGAATATTAAAAAATTTGACTTTGGCATTTTTGCTCTCTTGCCTACTACTACCGCTGCTTCTGCCGCTACTACTACTGCAGCTACCACGACAGCTACTACTACTTTTACTACTACTACTACTACTACAAATAATAACCTTAATGATAACAATTTATTTGGAAAAGTTTTTAAAAGCGTGAAGTCGAGCGTAGGTGCCGCAACAAGCGTTATCTACAGTAAATTGGATGTCAGTCATCCAATGTATAATGACAACGATAATAATTATAATAATAATAATAATAACAATAACAACAACAACGGGGATATTAGAAATAATGATGATATTTATGATAATAACGCATTTAACCATAATAACCTAACCGCCGGTACTACTAATGCTACTGCTGCTATTACTACTACTACTATAATTACTACTACTACTACTTCTACTACAACTACTTCTACTACAGCTACTACTTCTGCTAGTAAAACTTTGTTTGATAATACATATGCTAGAACTGCTAAAAACACATCAGATGGTATGAAGATCTGTGACGACGACGATGATGATGGTGATGATGATGATGGAAATTTTGATGATGATAGTAGTTGCAGTAGTTATGGCGCGAACGCGAAAGATGGAATTATAGAGGAAAATGTTGGAGTTCTGCCAGAAATCACGTGGTATCAGGTGAGTAATGGTAATGATGATGATGTTGGTGGTGGTGGTGGTGATGATGTTATTGTTATTAATCATAGTGATGATGAGGATAATGATGATAAGGATGATGATAATGATGATGATGATAATGATAATGATGATGACGACGACAAAAAATTTTTGCAGAAAAATGAAGAAACGGATGAAATGGAAAAAAATAATGAGGCGTCTGTTTTTCCGAAACAACAACCGCAACAACAACCACTACTACTACAACCACAAGAACAACAACCACCATTACTACTACAACATCCACTACTACTACAATCACAACCACTACTACTACAACCACAACCACCACAGCAGTTTCAGCAAGAACATTTAGACGAAGAAATACAACAAAAACAACAACCACGACCACAAGATGAATGCTGCGCGTGTTGCGGTCTAACTCAGCCGACTAATATCCGACTAAATTCGAATAATCCCGAAACCGACTATTCGCCAGGAACATCTCTGTTATCGGAGCATCCCTACTTTTATGCATGTCCAAAGTGTAATTTGTTTGTCTGTCAGAGCTGTCTGGTCGACATTAGCACATGCTCTGAAGATGTAAAGAGAAAGATGATGACGACGACGATGACGTCATACGATGACGAGGTAATGATTATGATGGTGACGATGGTGATAATGATGATGACGATGATGTTAATTTACTTTGCTGTTTCTAAAGCAACAACACTTGGCAAGTATTTAAATTTGCTTATATATTCACATCACATCTCTCGACACAACTCTTTATTTCTCCGTCTGCCTGTCCGTCTGTCTTTCTCTCTCTCTCTCTCTCTCTCTCTCTCTCTCTTTCTTTCTCTTTCCCTCTCTTTTTCTGCTTTTATGTTTTTCGGCTTTATTTTTCAGAATTTTCAGTTTTTAGGATTAATATGGTAAACCT